AATATTTACAAGTTTTCTTTCAACTGACAAATAAATTTGGGAAGAAAGGGTTAAACAAAGTTAAAACAAGTTTCTCTAATGCAGGATTAATATGCTATTATGTGTACCAGGGAAAAACAGCATGTCTGACCTCACGTTGCTTCTATTTGCCTAGCTGCTGTGATCTATACCTTCGAAACTTCTGCTTAGCCCTGAATGTAGGCATGCTATCACTAAGGCTTGCAAAAACTGCTTTTTTACCCAAAATCTACCTCACCTATGGAGATAAAGAAGTATGTACAGAAATGACTGTGCTATGTTTAAGATTTACGGGAATGACATGACCAGATTCCTGTATGCAAAGATCAACTGACCAAGGACAGAGAAGTTACTCAACCTTCTTCGATGTCTACAGACATCAGTCACCTTTTGACTCCGACTCCCTCCTACACCCCCCTCTTCCTAACATAAAAGAAGCTCAAATCTCAGGCTCGAGGAGATGGTTCTTTGGGACAATAGTCTGCCATCTCCTCAGCTTTTCAGAACCGACTTTTAAAGCTAAGTATATGTATAACTTCGTTTTTAAAAACACAATTTAAAAATAATACAAGCTCCCACTGGTTGAAATAGGAAATGGGGCATCAGCTATGAAAAACAGTATAGCAGTTCCTCAAAAAAATCATATAAATGGAATTATATGATCTAGCAACTCCACTTCTGGAAATATATTCAAGAGAATTGAAAGTGTTGTTTTGAAAGATATTTGTACACCTCTGTTTACAGCAGTCATATCTACACTAGTCAAAACATGCAGGCAATGCAAGTGACCATCAGTGGATGAGTGGATTAAACAAAAGGTGGTACAACACAGATGGAAACTCAAGGACATTGTGCTAAGTGAAATACGCCAGTCACAAGACGACAAATACTGTATGATTCCACTTATATGAGATAACTAGTCAACCCCACAGGAAGGGAAAGTAGAATGGTGGTTGCCAGGGCCTGGCAGGCAGGGGAAATGAGTTTTTTAATGTGTATAGAGTTTCAGCTTTGCAAGCTGCAAAGAGTTCTGGAGACTGTACAACAAACGAATATACATTGTGAATAACAGTACTGAACTGTATACTTAAAAACGGCTAACATGGTAAATTTATGTTCTGTGCATTTTGCCATAATTATAAATAATTAAAAACAATATGAGATTCTGGGTCCCACTCCTGACTTAATGGGCCAGAACCCAAGGCTGAGCCTGGGGAATCAGTATTTTTAACAAGGGCCCACATTCATTCTGATGTGCATTATAGTTTGAAATCTGCTGCCCTAGGAATAAACCACCTACCTTCTGAATGTAGTAGACCAGCATTTTCATTCATTTCAGTCTAGCATTCCTGATCAAGGGTATATACTCCCAGCTGAGGAATTAATTCCCAAGTCACTAGAGAATAGTCCAACTTATATGGAAATTATTTATATAGCAATTTAATTCCAAAGAGGACTTCGTTATTTACTAATCCCTATGATCATTGTTCTCCAAAGAGTGGGGCAAATTATAAGTATTATCCATCTACAACTCAGAGAGAAACTGAAGCAAACGGAGATCAATTGTCCAGAAAAGACCAAATTTGAGGAAGATGTAATATCTTTTGATAAACATTACCTAATCACTACGTTGTGTTTACTACAAAAGAAATTCAAAGATGAATTCCCCTCTCCCAGAGTTCATAGATCAGTACTGACACCCCCATAACCTATGGAGATCAGAAACTTTCTCTTATCAGCTAATCTCACCCCACCACACCCCGCCCCACTTAGGAGTCCAAGGCCAGCTTATTTAGCTCTCTCTTCCCTCAGTTCCTAATTCTATGAACGCTATTTTTAAATATTATGCAGTTTACCAATATTTTAACAGAGACTGGCAGTAACTAAATTTGGTAAAAGAAATGTGAATCCAATTTTGAGACAGATGAAGGATAAACAGATGTACTTGACAATTTTTTTGGAACCCAAATCAAAATCAAACCTTACATTAACTTCAGGTCCTACCAGACGAGTCTCCATTTCATTTGACGAAAGAGCAGACAGATATCTTAGGTAACAGATGAATATTCACAACTCAAAGAACTAAAATAAAAACTTTAAATCTTACACAAGAAAAATTGTTTCCAAAATACTATTTATTCAATAAGAACATGAGATGAGTGCTGTACACAAAATATTTTGAAACATAGAAGTCCTCAAATTTTGAGGAAAATTACATAAGATCACATGAATTGCCAATCTGGGGTATATGCTATCAAGTATATCCAAAACAGTATTTTTTACATGGCTTCAAAGAAAACCTATTGTTACTCATATAATTAAATTAAATTTTAGTGTTACCACGAACGCAAAAAGCCTAGTTTACTCTGAAATAAAACTAAAATTTAACATGTGTTAATATTTGTGCCATAAAGAGTGTGAAGAACATACCTTTTTGTCAAAAAAAATTAACTTCTAACTGTTCAAAATGGCTCCTGGAGGCTTTTCTTTTTTCAGCATTTCTCATGAACTCTAGAATATCGATCTCAAAGTTTCTATTTTGAAAAACTGTAGTAACAAAACATTTGTTTAAAAAGCCTCGCAAGGATACCATCAAACTTACTATGAGATATTAAATTGACTAATTTCAGGACTCATTCATCAAAAATGAGAATTTACTCAAAACAATTCATTGAGGATTTAAGTAATTGCAGTTATAAACTCTCCTAATATTCATGAATGAAATTCAATCTGCCATTAGCAAGCCTGTGTTTCATAGGCCACTAAACTCTCAATAAAGTCTATAATGATAACCTAATTAGTGTCACATCTGCACATGTCACTTCAATGCAGTGACTCCAGACAATTATCACCACTTAGATGAAGTCGTTAAGAACTCAGAAAGAGTTAAAAGGGTTTGAAAACAAAAATATCTAAATTGACCAATGCACCCTTCTGTAGGAAGCAAACTTAACTTTTTGATGTAGAGCTCTCATGAAAATATTGCCCATTGATCAGTGTATTGCTAGACATTATGCTGATTTGGTTTCTTGTCTGTGACGGGTCCCTTTTGCTTGACACTGGCAACTTTTCTGGCTCTACTTTTTTGAATCAGAGGAGCTTACGCTAACTTTGATTTTAAAAGAGCCTATTTGTTTTTAAAGTCTGAAGAGATAAAACTAATGATTCTAATGGTTGGAGTGCACACACAGGGCCCACACAAATACCTATTTCATATGCAGATTTTATTCAAGTTCCTGGATTGTGACAAAAACTGTACTATTTATGTTTTTATGGGTTTGAAGTTCACATGAACATAGCCTTTTTAAGAAAATTAAGTAGTTTGAATTATGTAAGGTTTATAAGTTATTTAATGGATTGAAACAGTATTTGCCACAAGTGATTGGTTTTCAGAGTGAATTGTTATTACAATCCAACAAAAAACTCATACAAAACAATTTGCCTTCTACCATCTATTTTGAAGGAAACCTATTTTATGATTTCCATTAATGTGTAATTTTAAAATCTCATTTTTCCTCAAAAATCTTCAATTTGCTATATTTATGACATTATAAAATCATTTCTCAGTTAAAGCTAGAAATTATGACAGCCTGAAATTTCATAACAATTTTTCATTTCATAGACAAAACACAAGTTTTTATTTTAATGACGCCAAGATATGAAACCTATTTTTACATATTATTGGAAAGAAGCACAAATGTTTGAAACAAATGTTTGAAAGTCCATATTCACTAGTCTTCAACACAAATTTTACAAAACTGTACACCTACTGCATACAAGAACAGATAAACATGAGACAAGCTAGACGTCGACTAACTGGTAAAAGGATAGACTGTGGTATTCATACAATGGAATATTATATATATAGTAATAAAAAAATTAGTGAACTGTGGCTCCACTCATCTGCATGGATGGATTTTTAAAGTTCTTGAGCAAAATATAAAGTCATGGAAAAATACAGTGTGACTCCTCTTCCCTAAGATTCAAAAAGAGGCAAAACTAAGCAACGAAAAATTATAAAAACAAACAAGAATGATGAAAATTTAGGATAGTGGTTACCTCGGGGAGAGAAGTGCACGTAATCAAAGAGGAGACCGTGTGGCTATCAGAGGTGTGAGTAACGTTCTACTCTTCGAGCAAGGTGGTGAGTACATGGGTATTTGTTCTATTACTCCTCCTTAAACTGTACATATACTTTATGTATACGGAGAAAATGAGAGGCAAGAAAATGGTGACCGTATAGACAACTCTTTTTGAAGACCACTGATCTTGCATGTAAAGGAATAAAAGATGGGAAGAAATGTGAATGTTCTCAGAGATTTTGTTTTGCTCTTGCTAAGATATGAAGAGAGCATCTGAATGACAGAAAGGTTCCATCAGAGGGGAGAGGCTGAAGAAACAGCAGGGGTGACTGATGAGGCGAGGCCCACGGGAAGGTTTGCCTCTGACAGGAGGAGGAGCGGTCTCATTCAGGCAGAGGGCGGTAGGGAAAGCTAAGAATAACAGGCACAGATTTATACAGTTGATGATGGGAAACGGAAGTACATCAGATATGGGGGCTCGCTCCTCTTGAATGAGGCTCCAAGGGGAAGGGCAGAGCTGGCTTTGAGAAGAAATGAAGGCATCAAGTGACAGCTCGGGGCAGTCAGAGAAACAACTGACCACAGACAAATAAATGCAGGTGCTGTCCTCAGCATTTCACCTTACGTGTTTCCCTGGCCTCTGTCTAGAATATATTTCCCCTTCCTTTTCACCTAGAAAATCTTCCCATCCTTCAAGACTCACCTCACGTTCTCCGTCTTCTGTGATACCTGTTCTATTCCACGGCAATCCTTTCCTTTTAATCCTTACAGCGCTTAACTCTTATCACTCGTTTTTTACTTGCTCATAAACTACCTTGCAGTCACTCTTTTGTGTTGTACATGGCTTCATTCTTCTGGGTGGTCTCCCTAGCTACAGTTCTTGAGGACAGAAATCATGTCTTTTTTTTTTTTTTTTAAGCACCGTTGCTCCCCCTTTCAGAAGAATAGTGCATTCTCATACAGTGAACACTTAGCTGTTCGTTGTTCTATTTTTTAAATATGTCATCTACTTAAACAGATATTCTTAAAAGCAAAAGAAAAAAATATGTGAATAACTGAACTTTGAATCCTCCATTATTTTCTTGTCCCTGCTTCTGGTTTTCAATTTTTGGTTTTAGAACTTACTTGGTAGAAGCCAAGCCAGACATCCAATGTTAACACAACATTGGTTTGATTTTTAGTATTTTTTAAACAAATTGTTTCTACTCATTAAACTATTAAATTTTTTTCTTTACAACTTTTAATATGTTTCCTCATGGAGGTAGATCTTAGAAAATGAGGCAGAATATTATCAGCAAAGACAAATTATGTCAGGAATGCCATCTTGTGGTTGAGAGTAGTCCATTACACTACAGATCCTTTCAGTAACAATCTTTAATTCAGAAATAAAATATCCACTAAATTCACAAATGTAAGTCATGGTTAAAATTATTGTTACTACAAAGAAAGAAAAGCTAGATATGTGTGTTTTCAATTGTGTGTGACTTCAGTTGTCAAAAAAGACAATGTTCATCGGAGAGACAACAGATGAATTATATAGGAATGGACTCTAATACAGAAACACTGCTACCTATAACTATAAATATATTCTATTAAGACTATTGAAATACTCTGAATTTTGGAAAACTTTTCTCATGAAATAGATAATTTTACTTCTATATCCACTACTAACTAGTTATGTTATTACATCCTAGATTTAAATCATGGGTCTTGATTTTCAAAATACATCACCCTAACTATAACCATCCAAAGGGGAGTGAAGGACGGAGCACTTATCTAACTTGGATGGTGTAGGATACACAGAATTAGTTGTCGTCCAAAATGGGACTTGGAAGAGAGGTAAAAACCCGGGCCCTATCTTAACAGATGAACTTACTACTTCTTCCATACAAGTTAGACATTTCAATAATAAATTGTCTTTCTAGTCAATAGAAAGCTAGTAACTGTTACAGATATATTACTTAACAACTACGCTTACATATTCTAATTGCCAAGTTGAATACCAGACATTCTGATCCACTTAAAAGTGGGGATGAGGGCGTAGAAACTGATATATCCCTCACGAGTGCAAAGCACAGCACAACACAAAGGTCCATGCACTATGCTACCCTTTTGTCACTTCCAGATTATAAGGTTTTAAGGAGCATGTGCAGGTACAATGTTCAGTTATAGAGATCAGGTTATTTGAAATTCCAAAAGATAATAGATCTACATGTAGCTATATTTACCAAAAAAAGGAAAATGCTATTGTACTCCAAATCAATGTCTGGGATTTATTATGGCATGCTTATCACCAGGAAAAAAAAAAGTTTTACTCAAAAATTTTTTATACGAATTGATTTTGTATTAGTTTTTCCACATGATTCTTCATGACATTCACATCAGCTGCACAAACCTGGTACTCCATCTTCTCTTGCTGTTTCGTTCTCTCTAATAAGGCTTCGTGCGGTGGAGGCAATGCATTGTAGGAACTCAGCAAGTAAAGCTGACTTGAGGAGGTATGGTTGATTTCTTTAATCTTTAAAGCCTGCATGATAGCAGGTGCAAACTTCGAGTAATGAGCCGTAGATGAGACAATCACTGGGCAAGTTTTGTCTTGCATTCTGTCTGCAACCACTTTTGCAACAGCAGTGTGTGGATCCAGAATATACCCCGAAGTACTGTAGGTGGAATGAATAGCTGCCAGACACTCTCCCTCGGAGCACCAGTCGGCTACAAAATCCTGCTGGAGTTTCTCAACTAGCATCTTCTCTATCTGGAAGTGATGCTGCTCTTCTAGTTGATTAAACAATTTTGTCATTAATTTTCCGTTTTTATCAGCCATCAAGTGTAAATGTCGTTCCAGGTTTGAAGCTTTAAGAATATCGATTGCTGGTGAAAAGGTCTGTGCTAATTTTCTTTCCCTTAGGTCATAGTGTCCTGTTTTTATAAAATCAGTCAAAACATGGTTCTGATTAGAGGCACAAATAAATTTGCGAATAGGGATTCCCATCATTTTGGCATACACTGCTGCTAAAATGTTACCAAAGTTTCCTGTGGGAATACAGACATCCACTGGGCTTCCAAAAGAAATAAATCCTTGGCTAACAAGATCAAGATATGCAGAGGCATGATAAACTACTTGGGGAAGCAGTCGGCCCCAGTTTATGGAATTAGCTGAACTTAAGACTGTTCCATATTCCATAATAAGAAAGCCAGCAAAATCGGAATCTCTAAAAATGCCTTTTACAGCTGTCTGGCAAAAATCAAAATCTGACTTGACACCCACTGCCCATCCATTTTCTTTCTGACTGCCAATTATTTGTGCTTTTTGAAAATCACTTACTCCGTTCTCAGGAAAAAACGTGGCCACAGCTATTCTTTGCTTATCATTCTTATTAATACGGCTAAAACCATTTAAGACTGCACTCCCTGTGTCTCCTGAAGTAGCTACAAGTATCATATAATTGCAACTTGGTGGAATACAGTGTGCAAAAAGATGAGGCATAAGCTGTAAAGACAAATCTTTAAATGATCCTGTTGGTCCGTGAAACAACTCCAGGATGAACTGGTTGCCTGAGAGATGCCGGACAGGGGCAATTCTGGAGCAGGCAAAGTTTTCCCCATAAGCAGTCTCAATCATTTCTCCCAATCTGGCAGCAGGTACATCAGCTGGATGTATACACTTTTCCAGCAGGATTTGTGCCCTTTCTATGTAGGTTGCTCCTACGAGGCTTTTCCACTCCCTACAGTTTAATTTTGGAAACTCTTTCTCAGGAACGAAGAGTCCACCATCAGAAGCTAACCCCTCAATCACTGCTTCGCTAAAGAATTTTGTTGAAACCTTCCGTTCGTCTTTAGGCCAAATGTGTCTTGTTGAAACGAACGTTTCTGAGTCCACATCTTGGTACCGTTTGACTGCACTGAGCACTTTGTCAGCGACCTCCTCTGGGGAAGCCCCACTTTCACAGAAAACACGGGTATCATACCACTTCTTATAATACTGTCTTCTAAACTTAAGTAAGTCTTTCATAGATGTTCCAGCATCCTGACCTACGATCCTATCAATTTTCATTAATTTTAAGCGGCTGACTATATCTATTAGAGGTACATCCAGGTATACAATTATCCCATTTTTCTTCAGATGCCACATGCTAGCATCATGCATTGGATTGGACCCCGTAAGGGAAATCACACTTCCAGATGTAGAGAAGTTTAACACGGCTTTTCCTTCCTCTTCTAAAAATTGCTCATTACCAACATCCTGTAATTTTTCAGACACACTCATATTCCAGGTTTTTTCAAGGATATCATCGTCCACATCTATGACACAACAACCTAGTTTCTGACCTATTATTCTGCCTACTGTTGTTTTCCCAGCACCAGGCGGTCCCATCAGGATAATATTTTTGTCTCCAACAAGAGAGTGGGTTGAGTGCCACGACTTCCTGAATTCTGCAAGTGCAAGGGTTCTTGAAAGAAACAGCTGCACATGTTTATCCGTTCTAACATGTATACTGGGAAAACATTTCTGGGCTATTTGTTTCAGATGCGGACATCGGTTAAAGTGGAGCATTCTCTTTTCACTTTTCTGCCCAAGTCAACCTAAAAACTGGCTTTAGCCCTTTTCAAAACATAAAAACAAAAAAGACATTTGGTTACTAATTTCAACAAACTCAAAATCCCAAAGAGGACTGAAAATAACCATGTCCACGGTACCTAAACAGTTTAGAAATCTTTCAAATGTATGGGACATTTTTTAAAGTACTCAAACCCAAATTCTCATATATTACATATTATCCTTTAAATAATCTTTTCAGTCTCAAGCCCGAGTGATCACAACTTTAAAAATTTGTAACTATAGGCAATGCTTTATTCAGAAAATGCCATATCATAGATGCTTTAAAAAAAAGCCATACTAAATCAGATTAGTATTTCTTTTCCTGTAACGAAAACTGTTTCTTGGTTTATAACCCACATAAAAAAGGATTATTTGGAATGCTATTTACTTGCAATTCATAAAAGCTGAATATTCTTTAAATTTAATTTCTAACTTTAGTTACACTAACATGCTGATAGACTATCATGCTCCTCATAAATGTCTCAAAATTCACAACAGGGAAGTAGAATATTTGCTTACAAAATGCTTAAATAACTTTCCAAACTGTAGGACAAAAGTATGGCATTTTCTTTCTTATGCGCCTTTTATATGCATATCGTAAAGAATCATCCTCAGATATTTTTCATATTGAAGGCCTTTTAAAAAAAGCTAAAACGAAAGGTATAATATTATGCAAATAGTTAAGTTGGTAACAGCAAAGTCAAAGGCTACACATCTATAACCTTATCTGCATGAAACCGCCACTTTTGTTTCTGTCCTCTAAACATTATCAGTGGAGACACTTAACTCAAATTCCAAACTCTACAGTGATAGCAATAAAAACAAACAAACAAACAAAAAACTTCGGGATGTTTCCAATGATGAGAGGAAATAATTACTCTGGCATCCAAAGAACCTCTGCAATTCCCCATATTGCTCAAATCCCTGTCTTTGGGATGTAATGTACTCAACATTAAAACACAAATGTATGCCAGACAAGTCAAATTCTTAGTCATACGTAAAATGCAATTTAGTAACTGTTGCAGTGTTCATTCAAATTGACTAAAGGAACTCCACAGACATCTAGTAGGGCTTTTCACATTTTCTGCAACTAAGCCATATTAAATATCAGATGGTATGTTCAAATATGCTCTGAAAACTTTTAATCATTTACTACTTTGATTATCTGTACTACTATGTTCTGTAATTAAACATTTAAACCATTTTAAAACTAACACTGAATTTAACTTACAAGTTAAATTAGAACTGTCAAGAGAAGGAATACATTTCCTTATTTGGCCTTTCAGCTCGTATGTGCTGTCCTTAATTCCCACTGACTTGTAAACCATATGACACACAGGAACCAATCTCAGATGAAGAGTTTGTTGATGCTGAGGCAAAGTCAATCTTTGCAAAAAACAGAGTCTATAACAGAAAAATTTTCAAGTTAATCATCACTGAGTACAATGTTACAAAATCCCACACATGGACTGGTCTATTATTAAAATATCCACCTGAAAAATTTAAAGTCCAGAAAAAGAATGAATTGACCCTTTTCATGTTTCCCCAAATCTATTATTAAAAGTTTAAGATACTGTTTTTTTTTAACATCTGTGTCTTATAAAGGAAAAGAAATTTCATTAAACAGTACTGAAGGAATTTCTTCCACCAAGCAATATGAAAGACAGTAATATAACCAAATAAGAACAAATACAAAATCTCTCACAATGACACCTGAAATTTTAATTACTTAACTGGATGTTTAGTGATGAGAGAAAAATTTAAATCACTGGACTAAAGCTATGAAATGAGTGCTTGAATTACCCTTGTGGGTTGTTTTATCCATCTGAATCACTACATGATTTGTATGTAATAATACCTACTGTAAAAAGCGCAAATATAGTGTCTGCTACACACCAGTACCCCTTGTCTATTTAATTGAGTTTATAATAAATTCAAAACACGTATCATAGTGGCTGGCACATAAGAATATTCTCATATATGGTAATATTATTATCACTCAATGGCAATGGACTAAAAACATATAAATTGAATCAGAATATCTAGGCTCAAGGCTAGGTGTATTTTTTCATGGTTTGTTTATAAGCCTTCAGAGAAAATATGGGTACTTAGCCATGAATCAAGAATTGTTTTGCTATACACAGTCTAATTCTTTCCCTGCCATGAACCCAGGATCAGAGAAGTATACACTTGAACCATTATTGGTAATGTCTTTTATTAAACTGTATTCTAGTATAGTACTTTAACACCAGCTAGTTTTCTTGGAGGAAGGGGAACACTTTCTAAAACCATCTGCTTCACCTGCTATTCAGGAGTGTGTTCTTGTTTTGTTCCCAATGTGTAACTTCTGATGTCTGTATTAGCAGTAATTGTAGTATTACCTGAGTAGCTGGTTGGTTTTTCTGGACATTAAATCTTTTAACTGATCTTTTTCACTTTGTGTTGGTTGCTACAATGCTTACCATCAACTCCACTAAAAGTAGAAGACTGTAACACAAACATTATGCATTGTTTGCCTTATCTTTTATAACCTTAGTTTTCCTTTATTTTATATGAATTAAAAATAGAAAATTATGACAGCTTAATTTAATTTAGTATATTATTTGACAATAAAAAACTTCCTGAAAATAGCAGAAGGCAGTTTTAAAGGGCTATAATATGTAAGAAATATTACGATATTTAAAGAAATATTATTTTTAAATATAAATATATATTTATAAAATAAAGAAGATGAATTCTATTTTAAGTAACATACTAAATTTTGTTTTGTAGCATTTTATCCACAAATTAATTTTAGGGCTTCAACACCCATTGTAAACAAACCAAAATACAAGATGGAATAATATCTATAGTATGTAACTTTCATCTGAAAACTAAGTCTTTACTTAAGAGGTAATAAAGTCAATTCTCATTATTCATGGTATTATGTTCTATAAAGTCATCATTCTTGAGTATTGAATTAGTGAACAGTGAATAGTCCCATTGCTCCTAGGGGAAATACAGGGTTAGGTTTCTGCGAGCCTCGAGTCACATTTTTGCCAACTGATCAATACCTAGGCTTGTTTTGTGTTTCTGCTTAAAGTCATTTTATATATTTTTTATATCTTTAATATATAATTTATACATATATATATATGTAGTTGACTCATTACCGCTCTACAGCCAACAGCACTCTAACTTAAGCCTGAATGAAGCTTATCTAACACACATTTTATCTGTAAGGCACATTATAGCCTAATTACCTTAGGAACACTAGGCAGCACGTCAGCAACCTCGGGGCCATTTTAAACGGCAAAACCACCAACTAGAGGTACAAAAATGTGAAAAATGTGGCACTAACTAGAATGGGAGAAGGATATTTTTGTTTACAGTATTTGAGCTCAAACAGCAAGGCAGAGCATCATCTTGCCTGACCACAGCTTGGAGCACGTACATCAGGAGACTCAAATTTTTCACCACTGTGCGTGTGTCCATGAATGAATGCACAAGTTTGGCAAGTATTAATTTGGGCTTATAAATAAATTTTAGTGAGTAGAATTCACAAATATGGAACGTGTGAAAAGGGAGGATCAACTGCATATCATTTTCCTTTACGATTCAAAGCCATGTTGTTATGCTTTTTCAATTATTTTATATTTTAGTATGTATTTCAGTCTAGTGGTCATGAATAGGCAGTTTTTCTTCAGCCAAAGGACAAAACTTTTTCAAATTAAATGGAAGTCAAGGAGTCAAAAAACAAAAGCTGTACTTAAAGACCAAATCTCTTGGCCATAAAGTACTCAGGTTTTACTGTATTAATGTTCTAAAGTGTTTTCTGTAGAGCCAGGTTCTTCATGAAAACATTTTAGTCATACTCTCTAATTCCTCACAGGACGGAAGATCTACACAACTCCATTATCCATTAATACTTTTTAAATAGGTTTTCCTACTGATCACTTATAATGGGGTTTTTTGATCCACGAACTCCACTGGATACTTTTTAGACGTAATAGACACTTGTCCTTCAAACAGACAAATGAAAAGCCTGTCGCTCTCACAGCAAAAACTTTAAAAAACAAAAACAGAAATGTCCACATGTACAAAATAATTCAAGTACTCTTTGATTTCACAGCACAAAATTTAACAATTTTACTTTGGCAAGCTGATCAAAACTGAATAGTGAATTCAAGAAAAAAAAAGTAAAGAAATTACTTTTTAAATCACTTTTAAATAATTTCCTATGAATGCTAATAAACTTACATTTTTAAACCAGAAATTCATACTAATTTTCAGCAACCTATTTAGTGATGTTTTCCTAAGGACACCACTAGATGATTGCTAATCAACTAAAGTCATACCTGTTACCAATTTTTACTTCCAAAATGGTCTAGAAGAATTTTTTCAATTCCATTATAAAATTACCTAGTTTCTAATTCCTCTGGGAAATTACCCAAATCCTATTCAGTCAGGATGATTTAGCATTTGTCACCCATTTAAAGTATTTGTTTCATACTATTCCAAAATAAAACATAAGTCATAGCACTTTAAAAATTATTTCATGATGAGAACTGGCTGCGGTCCAGTGAACTTCTGAAAACATTTATGCCATGATTATGCTTGTCACCCTATATTAATGCAATCTAAATTTCTCAGAAGAATGACTAAATCTAGTCCATTATCTTATGAAGGCATCCTGACATATTTTTTAATTCTTAAAATGACTATTTTTACAGTAATAAATTGTTTTCCAATACATAATAAAAATGCAAATTCCTAGGACATAAACTAGCCAGGGGGAAGGTAAAGTTCTGCTGCTCTGGACTGTTAAGCAAAAATCCTCCCAACACGCCTTTAGGTCAGTCAGCAATTACTTCCCTGGAAAAAGCAAGACGGAAAGACCACACACTCCAGTGTCAAGTTGTAATCAGAGGGATCTTAAATCAAAAGTAGAATTTACAAGTTCATCACTCATCTTTGCCCCTATCTTAGCACCAAAGCTGAGTAAGCCTTTCCTGTTGCTACCCTTTTGCTGTTAGATACCCTAATGGTCTTGAATATTTAATTCAAAAGACTTTTTAAGTACCCTTTTTAATTCTATAATTTAAAAATATATTATTATAAAGAATATCTCTTATACAGGGTTATTTTTCTTCCTAGAAAATTGTCTTTTTTATAGTCCCACCTAACCTCATTTTATTCATCTAAGTAAATTAGAATTAATCTTTAGCAAAAAAACTCTTAACTTGTATGTACAAACCACTTATAGCAGGGGTCTGTGCAAAACTATAACCCACAGGCCAAATCTGTGCAAAATTACAACCACGCTTTCTGTAAATTAAGTTTCATGGGAACACAACTGTGCTTATTTATTTGTTCATCTGTTTTGTATTGTCTTTGGCTGCTCTTGAGCCACAACAGTAGAGTTGAGCAGTTTCGACCAAAACCATTTGGCCTGCAAAGGCCTAAAATATTTATTATCTAGCCGTTTGCAGAAAAAGTTCATGACCTCTGTCAGTATACTAATTTCCTGTGGGCATAGTGGAATAGACATTTCCTTGAACAGTACTAACATTTTGAGGTAATTATAAAAATTAGAAATATATTCTTTGTAAACATGCTTTCAAAAGGCAAGCAGAATTATAGACGAAGTATCTAAGGAAAAAAGTTCCTTTCTAAATGATTTAACAACTTCATCATGACTGTAAACTAAATACACTACAGTGAGGAGATCATAAATTGGTATTTTTAAGGCCACAATAAATATACTGATACCAGTGAAATTACTGTATTCAGTAACAGAAAGTCAAGACTAGCTAAGGTTGGTTGGGACTTACTAATTGGAGAAATCATGCTTTGCCCTTTGGCTCTTTTAGGAACTGTTTAATATGAAGCGTCCCAAAGTGTTTCTTCTTCATTAGAAAATGTATAAGCTTTGGCCAACGGCCACCCACTTGGTTAATGGCATTATCAGTATGAGTCCTTAGTTCAAATCTTGCCATGGATAAAGAGAATTTTTCTCTATACATGCTAAGCAAAAACAAACAAAATATCCCCCCAAACCCAAAACATAAAATAGTCTAAGGCGAAAGGAAACCGACAAACTGGTATACACATAAAAAATGTTTTGAAAAGTAGAAGATCTGATGTGAAGAACAGGAGCATCATCTCCAACATGCCACTCATCTGAAATAAAATGCTCCACTCCTGGGATAAAAATAAAAAATCTGATCAATTGGATAAGAAAAAACTAAATTTATTCTTATCTAATGAAATTCGCTAAGAGCCCCAAATGAGAAGGACCCACACATTCTGCAGAGCCTTTTAAGTCGGAACTAAAAGGTTAATGAAGCCATCATGCTGTTTTTCTCTCTCCACCGAGCACCCTGGCAGTGAGACGACCAAAACTGGTGTTGGTTCTTATCTTTGACCATCTCTATTCCCTGTGGGCAATGGCCTCTGTAAGCTTCGTTCAGACCAACTATCCTCTTTCCCAAATATTGCCAAAATGTCTTTTAGAGACTCGGGATCGCAAAGGCTTCTGTATGAAATTCTTCCAGCAGTCCTACGTGCATAAATAGGTTTAGGGAAGAGCAGACGGTTCAAAACGGAACAAAACCGCTCCCGAGAAGGCAATTTTCAAAAAGGGACACCATAAAAATGGGCAAAAATTCAAGGGCCCATTTAAAGAGCCTTCTCCTGGTTTAGGCTGCTTATCTAAAAAACATCAAGTCCACTTGTCTGTGGATAAAGACCTAAGAGGAGGGGCGCGACCAGGAGGTACACCAGGCTGAGAACAGAGAACGGGAGAACAGAGGTCGGTGGAGGGGAGGGCCGCGGCGCGACAGGTGGATGGGGCGGACGGCGGGGCGGACGGCGGGGCGTGCGTGGGCGCGCACGCCCACAGGTGGCGAGCAGGGCCGCGCGGCGAGCTCCGGGCAGCCTGGGGCAGAAGCAGCGGGGAGAACGAGCGCAGACATAGTTGAGATTACAACGGAGCAGCGGACAGGGGCAGGAACGAAGTGCGGAAAGGCATGCAAAGGGAAGAAGCACCGGCTTCTACAGTTTCCCTTTCTTTCTCCTCAAATCACTCACCAAGAAAATCACACTGGGAAGACGGGGGGGAAAGGAAAGAAAATGGGGAGGAGCGTCCAGGAGCCGCCAGTGCCGCCTCAGGACGGAGTGCCACACCTCAAGGGCTCAACCCGGCTCGCCCACGGCCCGGGCCCAAGGCCTTCGCTAGGCCTGGCCCGCCCCCAGCCCCGCGCAGCGGTCTCTGCGCCTGCGTCGGTGAAGGCCTGCGCGCCCGCCGCCACACCCACGCCCCGAGCAGCCGCACGCCGGGCACGTGACTCTCGGTCCCCCGCTCCACCTACCTGAATCCTCCCTGCTCCTCAGGCTCCTCCCTACCCGGCCCGCTCTCCACAGAGGCCCTGCTCAGCGCGGCCCCAGCGCCTCGCCCCGCCCTCGCCGGGATTGGCGCCTGCGCACAAGAGCCTTATTGTGTGACGCCTACAGACCGGCGGCGCTGCCGTACTGTTTCTAGTGGAGTGTATCTTTCTCTCCAAATACGCAGAGACAGAAACGTGCAGTATTTTTAAGGGGATGCCATTCAACTCATTATTCCCAAAGGCACATATAAACAGTGGTTTCCATACTGAACTCCAGCAGAAAAACTGCACGGGGAAGAGAGGAAACCTAGTTTACCGTGCTGCCGTCCACTTCCCCGTAGCCTAGCAACTGTTTCCAAGGCAACCACGCCGTCAACAACGCTAAGCAACCCCGAGATAATTAGAAGGCCTATTTTATTTTCTTCCCAAGAGAGGACTGCTAAGAAGAGGTCAAAGGGAAATTAGGTGAAAGAGAGAAACCTTAGTTCTGTGAGAAGACAAGAGTAGGAAAGGGGAAACCCCGTGAAGAAAGAGACGGATATTGGTACAGTGAGAAAAAAGTTGATTATTTTTAAGGAGTCATTTTGGTGGCCATGGATACAGCTTGCTTTTCTGAGAGCATTTATAACCTCATACCCATTGACTGGAAGGAGCCTCCCCAGCCTCCTAGGTATGTGGGTAAGCAAAGATTATCACTTGAAACAAGAATAAGGAATAATTATGCTACTTCAGGATTAACTGAGCATCCTATGACGTTAAAAAAGAAATAACATACATTTTTGTCTCAGTGAAGTACTCTTGGATGTCAGCTTATTAAGGAAGTAGCTGCAAAATCTAGGTATTTCGCATCTCACAATTCAGAGAGGGCCATCCGTGATGAGAGAGGACCATTTTATTATGTTAGCCGCGTGTTAATACAGTATGTAATTGTTTTGTAATTTATCTAATTGTTCATACATGACGGGGTATACAAAATGGCCTGAAATTTCTTGTTGCTGTTGAAAAGAGAAAATCGTTTATATTATCCTGTGTTAGGATACCTGGTATTTGGTTTCAGGAGTTCATTGTTTTATTTCTGACTACACTACCGCTCCCTCTCTAAAGGGATAGTAGTTATTTATTTCTGAGATTATTGTCAAATATAAATTCTTGTTTGTTTCTGAAGCTCAGTCTTTTTATTGGTAAAACAAAATAGATTAAGTTCTAAGGTCTTTTCCGGATCTGATAATTGGATAGAAGGAAGAGTAGATGGATGGAGGCCCAAAAATATGTAATTGAGTTAAAATTCTTACATAAGTGTTAGGACCCCTTAAATTCCCCACATTTTAAAACATTACCCCAAAGTAAATATCTCAGTTAATCTCCTGTGTAGTGGTTTAGAACTTATGCAAATCTATGGGGGGGAAAGTAGGTAACTAGTGCAGAAAATCTTATTCCTTCTAGTACTCAAAATATTTGCTGGTTTTTGTTTTTGTTTTTGTTTTTGTTTTACCCTTCTTCTTTTTCTGATGCAAGTCAAAAGCACATTGAAAGAGCACTAGGCCACAATGCAGGCTCTGAAAATAATTGGTTTGGGAATCATGAATAAATTTTCAAACTAAATGATTCAGATAATCTTTACTTTTCCTTTCAGATCTAATGGTCAGTTATTTTTACTAGTAATTACTTGGGGTGCACGACATAAACAAGTGGGCACATCCTTCCATCTTAAGCCTGAGTATCTGGTTTTAACGAGAGTAGTACCCGTATTATTTTCTATTAGCTTCTCAAAATCTAGTTGAGAATGGAAAGAGGAATGTAAAGTAAAATGTGATGGAGTTGCAGGGTTTATGAGGAGGATTCAAATTAACTATTGCTGAATGAATTTTTGGTCAAAAATTCCTGTACGTTGTACTAGATAAAGCTCCTCCTTTCTGTAACCACTGGTAGATTGTATTTTCTATAGAGTACTGAATTTGAATTGTTAAGACATTTTATGAGATAGGTGTTTTGTTCACTGGTAAATTAAAAAGATGCCCCTTTACTGCATCTAAGTAATTTTTTTCAAGAAATTTCATAGGAACAATCTTTATTCATTTGGCAAGCAATAACTGAGCCCCTATTATGTGTATAACGTTGCCCTTGGAGAATGTTCTTGGGAAATGTTGCAAGTGACAGCAAAAACTCCTTGGTTGACTCTGAAGGTGTAAGTAGGAAAAAGGAACTCGTGGTAAAGGGAATAGAAGGCATCCAAATGCAGTGCCGAAGAACTCTCTCTTTTAGAGTGAGACTATCTACAACAACCTCTACGGTCTGCAACAACCCTGAGAAGGTTTTAATTTGATAATTAAACTACCAGTAAATAAAACCACCAATATATCAACCACCAATATATAAAAACAGAACATGATAACACATTTAACACATTCCTCTCACCACACTAACATTTACTTGCCCTGACCCAATCCCCTTACTAATAGTAAGAATTGATCATAAGAAAGAAATGTATTAACCTACAAGACTTATTTGCATTACTGAGTTACAAACCCAGCTTCAAGAAAACTCACTGCAGTTTTTGCAAAATTAGCAAGATGACTGTCCAGCTTTCACAAAGAGGTGGATTCCTCAGCAACTGACTGCATTGTGATCTCCCACACCTCAGAGGTTACAGTCTCCTTGGGACACTGAAGTATAAACATTAACATGTTTATATATAGTATATAATATATATATAGTATGCAGTTTATACTGCAGACTAACAATAAAATCATATATTATTGGAAACCCTAATGAGAGATGCAGGTAACAAAATGAGAACTTAGAAAATGGATATATGTAATGAAAGTGGGGTGAAGGGCATCCTCTTGCAGTTGAACTTAATGAGCTGAGACCCAAGATATAACAGTGTTAAAGTCAATGAGAAGCCATGAATCCATTTTCAAAATTTCAGTGGCTCACGATGCATTGAGATGGTTTCCAAGATGCTCACCAAATTTGTCACCCTTCTATTGATGGTTCCAGTTACTTAATGTCTCTGATCATTCTGTCTTTCCCTTTTGTTTAAAGTAATATTCCAGGTATGTACCAAATAGCCCATGGTACCATTATCTCTTTCCTTGCAGTGCAGTACTTTTATTAATACACTCATTAGCGTTTTGACATTCATTTCCCCACCGTTGCCTCACATTGAAATTTCTACATGAATTATGACCAAGGTTGGTCTCTACCATACTATAATTAATGTAACTGTTTTTGATATAAACTCGTTATCTACGGAGATAGTTTTGAACTTTGAATCTTTCATATACTCTCTCAACGATCCCTCCCAGCTTTGTGTCATTTGCAAATCTAATAAGTATGTCTTTTCTATCTCCATCTGTCATTGAACAAGGCAAGTACTTTGCATTTTAGTAGGTTACTAGACACCTCTTTCCAGGCTGAGAGCAATAGTGGTTTTGAGGGTTCAGTCAGTCATCCATATGCATCCATTAATCAATTCATATTTCTCTACCTTATCAGTAAGGATAAGAGGCTTTGCTAACATAAAGATGTATATTATGTCTAAGGTATTTTCCTGATTTATGAGTCAAATAATCTTAAAAAAAATTGTGTTCATTTCAGTGACCTGAAACTCCAAATGGCTTGTTTAATCATTGCTTCTCTACAAGTTTTTAGATGCTCTCCAAAATTGACATCAGGCTCACTGTTGTGGAGTTTCTGGATGCATGCTTTTTAAAAAACTGGAATATTTAATGTGTAAGCACCGACTAGTTGGCTTTTTTTTTTTTTAAGGCTTTCTGGTTTTCACTGATGTTAATTAACTGTGACATGTAGTCAGAATTTCATTTTCAGAGCTCCTCATTCTTCTTGGACTATCTTTCATTTTATTCAATTTCCATACTGTTAAATCTATGTCTTCAGAGGCTTTGTAACATCTCTTTGTTTAAAGTGTAGTTATGGGGCGCCTGGGTGGCTCAGTTGGTTAAGTGACTGCCTTCAGCTCAGGTCATGATCCTGGAGTCCCCGGATCAAGTCCCGCATCGGGCTCCCTGCTCAGCGGGAAGTCTGCTTCTCCCTCTGACCCTCCCCTGTCTCATGTGCTCTCTCTCTCTCTCATTCTCTCTCTCTTTCAAATAAATAAATAAATAAATCTTTAAAAAAAATAAAGTCTAGTTATGTATCTAACTTTGCTAAGCAATCTTGACTATTATGAAATCTTAGATGACAGGGTCATTTTCTTCTGAGATTCTTATCTACTTTGCTGACAATTTGTAGCCAATAATTCAATTGGGTAAAGCAGTAGTCCTTTAAAATGAACTTATATTCAAAGAGTATAAAAAATATTCCAAAGTCTTTGTTTTTAGTATAATGAAATTTTATGTTAAAATTCCCATTGTTACCATATATGGTCTCAGAGATTTATGACCAGTGTTAGAAATTGTTTATTCAGATTTTTAATTTGGTTGTCCAGTCTCTGCAGACTTCCATAATAATAACTTTTCTTCATCTCTTGTAAAGAAAAGAAAGTAAACTTTACGTGTACTGATATGTAAAGAGATTATATTAAGTTTTAAAAATCAAGTTATATTTCATACATAAATAGAAATATAGGAAACTGAATTTATTTGAAAAATGGATTGAGGGAAAATAGATTGAGGGGATAGAGGAAAACTAGATTTTTATTCATTTTTTAAAATTGAGATATAGTTGGCATATACCATTGTATTAGTTTCATCATTTTTTTCTATTTTTGTAGTTTGGAAAAGTAAAAAATTATTCAAATAGAATAAAACGTATTGTTTTGTGTAACAAATGGCTAAATTTTCAGTTCATAAAATAATGTACTGAATCACAAGATTGAAAATTAAAAAGGTGAAAGTATACACACTTTTCTTACCATAAGAAAAGCTAAATTATTAATCAAGAGATAATATCTGCCAGTTCCAACTTGCATATGAAATTTAAGGCACAAGTTTGAATTGAACATTATTTTCTGAAGGTATCTAATAAACTCATTCAGTTTAGACCATAATTGATCCCTAGCCATTGAATTCAAGATTGAGGAAAGACCCCTAAAAGCAAGAAATAATTCAATGTTTCTCCAAACAAATTTATCCACATTAAGTAAGAAGAGAATACGAGTTGTTAAAAGTGGTATAGCTAAACTTCTGCTTCCAATCAAGTATGGAATTTACCCTCTCACCTTAAACAACTAAAACACTAGGGGGAAAAACTGTAAAACAGTAGTTTTCAGACAATGGACAATAAGCAGCACAGAGCAGTCATCCCTAAGAGAAGAGAAACAAGCCTCACAATTGCCCCAACATTCTTCCTAGAGAGTTTCCAGGCCAAAGTCCAGGAAAGAGGAATTGAAACAAGACCCAGCAGTCCCTTGAGTTAAAGGAGACAGAGTTCAGAGTCTGGGGAGGTCAAGGCTGTAGAATTCACAGCACAGAGACACAGAGTACCAGAGAGGAGAGGACTGGAGAGAGAGAAAAAGAGAGAGAAAGTGTGTGCTATAGAAATATGCAAGAAGATTTTTCTGAAGTCTTTGGTTAACAGTACATGTATATAATGAAACCACGGAGGCCAGAGAAATAACCAACAGAAGGTAGTAGAGCCAGATAAAGTTCGAATTCCCACCAGCCAGAGTGGAAACACCTAAGGCATAGGGCATTGAGTAGTGCACTCAAAAGCATATTGCCTCAGTAGTGGGGCCAAATTAGAACTAGACTCAAAGCTCTTCTGGACCCAGAAATATAATGCATAGCCAAAAGAAAAATCAGTCAATACAAACAGGCAAAGAAATGACATCAATGCGAGAATTGGTAGACAGGAGCATTAAAGCTATTTTAAATATGCTCCATGTATTCAAGAAGGTAGAGGAAAACATGAGAAAGATACAAAGAGAAATGGAAGGATAAAAAAAAAAGACCAAAATCTAACTTCTAGATATAAAGGGTACCACTTCTAAAATGAAAATGGTCTATTGGATGGTATTAACAGTAGCTAAAACACTGAAGAAAATACTGTTGAATTTGAAAACATAGTAATAGAACAATACAAAATGAAAGAAAAAAACTGAACAGGAAAACAGTGAATCAGTGAGTTGTAGACAACATCAGGGAGCCTAACATAATTAGAATTGCAGAAGGAGAGGAGAGAGATGGGTAAACAGAAAACATATTGAATGATGGCCAAAATTTTGACAAAATTAATGAAATTTTCAAATCCACAAATCCAAGAACCACAATGAGCCCCAAGCAGAAAGAAGAAAAAGAAGGAAAAGGAGGAGGAGGAGAAGAAGACCATATCAAGGGATATTACAATCAAATTTCTTAAATAATAAAGAGTAATAAAGAGAAAAATCTTAAAAGCAGCCAAAGAAAAAAGAAACATCACATACAGAAGAAGAAGAAAGATAGCAAATATCTCATCAGAAACAATAGAAGCCAGAAGTTACAAAGTCCTCAATGCACAAGAAAGAGAATAAGTTGGAAATTTGGATTTACACAATGAAATAAAAAACACTGGAAATGGTAAATATACAGTAAATATTAGAAATTATTTTTTTCTCTTTAAATTTATTTAAAATATAGTTAGCTTTTTACAGGGAAATAATCACAATGAATTATGGGTTCAATAACACATTGAAATAAAATATATTACAACACTGGGACAAAGGTGGGGAGAGAGGTAAATGCAAATATTCTTTTACATGGTTCTTATATTGTATGTGACATGGTATAATGTTACTTGAAGGTAGGCTTTGGTAAGTTAAACATGTATGTTGTAAACTTTAGAACATCCACAAAATAAAGTCAAACAAAAATAGAAAATAAGGCAAAATAAAAAGAGTAAGAATGAACAAAGGGGTATGTAGAAAACAAATCGCAATATGGAAAATTTAAACACAAATATGTTTTTAAAATTACATCAGATATTAATTGTCTAAACAAATAAAAGAGATTTTTTAGAAAGAATTAAATTTCTGTGCCCTCCATAAAAAAAACCCTTTAAAAATAAAATCACAAAATAAGTAAAAAGTCAAAGAATGGAAAAACACTGTGTTGCCACAGATCAAAGGAGTGCTGAAGTGGTTTTATTAATATGAGATAGAGTAGATTTTAGAGTACAGAGTTTTAAAAGGAATAAAGGGCATTACTTTATAATGATGAAGTGGTCAGTTCAAGAAGATATGATAATTTTAAATGCTATGAACCTACAAACAGAGCTTTAAAATATATGCAGCAACAATTGATAGAACTAAAAGAAGAAATGAACAAATCCACAATTGTAGTCAGACATTTCAACATCTTTCCATAATTAAAAGTACACTTGAAAACACTACCAGTTTGACCTGATTGATATTTACAGAACATTCCAGGCAGCAACAGCCAAGCACACTTCCTTTTTGAGTGTATATGGGACATTTACCAAGATAGACCATAATTTGTGCCATAATACAAGTGTCAGAAAGCTTAAGAGGATTGAAATTGTACAAAATATATTCCCTAACCATAGTAGAAATTAATTAGAAATCAGAAAGACATCTGGAATACCCTCAAATATTTGGAAACCAAACAAAACACATCTAAAGAAACTCCTTAGTCAAAGAAAATATCAGAAGAGAATTAAAAAATTATTTTGAGCTGAACAAAAAGGACCACATAGGCATATCAAGATTTGGGGGATGCAGCTATAGAACAGTGCTTAGAAGGGATTCTACAGTTTTAAATACTTCTATTAGGAACCTACTAAGTTTAAAGTCAAATACCTAAATGTGCACCTTAAGAAACTAAAACAAGAAGGGCAAATTAAACCAGAATAAGGAGAAATAACAAAGATAAGTGTGCAAATCATTGAAATGGAAAACATGTGAACATTAGAGAAACACAATGACAAGATCAATGAAATAAAATGCCGAGCTATACTGATCAGCAGAGAGAGGAGGACACAATTCACCAATATCAGGAATGGGAGACGTGACATCACTATCGATGTTACACATATTCATGTGTTAACAAGGAAATATAATCTCGACCCTGGCACCTCTCTCTGAGGGCAAAGCTTCCGTCAAGGGTGCTTGATAGACAGGGCTCAGATAACTACACTTTATGTCTGTCTCTGAATGAATATAGACTTACATATATTTAAAAAGTGTATCTTTTCTTAAACTTGAAATCACTTTTACTGGAAATACAGATACTACAATTTTTTTTAATTTTAGGTACATATCCATTTTTAAGACTTCTGTAAAAGATAACATGCAAAAATGTAAAACTGCAATGAAGACTATGGGACCACCAAAAGTTGAAGTACCTTCTCCAAAGGATTTCCTGAAGAAACACTCAAAGGAAAAAACTCTACCACCCAGTAGGTTTTATCACTCTTTTTAATGTTAAAAGTGCTAACATATCATTTAACTAGAATTATCTTACTGCCAATGAATATTAAATGTTCACCGATGATAAGTTTATCTCATATTTAACAGAATCTGAAATTCTAGGAGGAAGTAGAAGTAGAGAATGTAGTGGAAAAAGAAGGTGGAGAACACTAAGTTGTCCCCAAAATAGACTTTCCCTGTGATGGTGCAGGCTTCTGAAGTACATCTTGGACTATCCAATAAAGCCCTACCTCCTGCCTCACATGCCTCACCATCTTAGTCCCTAGCCAGATGATTTCAGTAACAAATAACAATTTTCTTGAGTTTGAAACCCCAGTGAGAAGATTGCCTGGCATCTAAACTGTGTCTGGTGTTTTCTGCAAGAGATGAGACTCACAACTGTTATACCAGTTGAAGCAACTATCAGGCATGGGCTTTAACTCTCCCAGATCTCTAAGACCATTAGGACAGTAAATGAGTCAGGTGTAATGGAGGAGCCTTCATAAATGAGTGGTAGACAAAGCCAGCTTCTTGGGCATGTGTGCAGTCACACAGGGCCGTGTGCTTAGAAGCTTGGTTTAATGCTCTGCTTTTGCCCTCTTGAAATTCTTAATTTTTGGTCAAGGAGCTCCACATTATCATCTTGTACTAGGCCTTGCAAATTATGTAATTAATCATGGTCATGGTCATAGAATATATAGATATTAGGAAGATTAGGAAGAAGGCTGTCTGGAAAATGGACAGGTATGTATGCATGGAAGCAGCTTCTTCCCATCTTGGGTGTGTCTTTCCTGATGTTTTAGGACAATAGAGAGGAGAGGGAGATTAGTCTCTCTCTTTTACTAAGTTAGCCTTTTTATGTTGCCTGGCATCAAGGAAATAATGCAACATCTCAAGCCCAGCTAGGGTGTTCCTTTTGACAAAAGTGAAACTACTTCTCCTTATGGCAATATTTTATATCCCACAATCCTCTCTCATAACCCATAATGCCATGACAAACGATGAGGATATTATCAGGAAAGATGGAAAAAGCACATCTAAAAATACGATATTCTTGCATAAATTCACGTCTTTCAAAAGTCTCTTTTGTATCTTTCTCAAGGAGAGTTTTGGTATTTTGTGACCCACAACCACTTGAGAACACTGGAAAATCTTAAAATGGAATTAGTTTATTTCAATGATATTACTTAGGTTTCCACGTATCCTCTCTAGAGTTAAATACATTACATAACAACTACCAAACTATATAAATCCTAAATATCAAGTAAGGAAAAAGGGAAGTCTATCTCTCCCCTTATATAACAGGACAAAACAAACACAAAATTATATGGCCTTACGAATAATCAAGAAGGTCGGTTGTTGCAAGAGTTCAATCCAACGAGTTAAAGGTAATATAGACCAAGGCTGCTTCGAGTCTCTTTTTGAATATTCTGTCATTTCGAACACAATAGTTTTGAAGACAGAAATTTGCTAGCACACTGAACAATACTTAATAGATACATGAATATTTCTCTAAGTTCAATTGATAGAACATCTGCATGACAACAAGGCTGTGTTGACATTGCCATTTTGATATAACTTTAAGAAAGCCATTTGGTTTTCAGATTTATTATCACAACTATCAAATACCTTGTGAAAAGACATCCTCATCCCATTTTCCAAGCCTCTGCCCGTTGTCAACCCCTACACCTGGGATGAGAGAAAAGATGATGTTTAAATAGATGTAACAAAGTAAAGACGGGACTGGCTCTAGGCACCATCCAGTGAATAACCAAAACCAACCAAGGGTTGTAATTTACTCTACTTACTCGCCTAAGAATGAATTATCAGTCTTTCTAAACTGTTTCCTCATTTTCTAAGAATTCAGCTTTACCTCTTATATACGTTTCTAAAGCTACAGATTTCCTTATAGTCCATTTGCATGCACTTTCAATTCATAATTAAATTGGGCTTCTTAATATTTTCAATGTGAACATCTAGAGAATAGATAACTCTAGTTTTTTAGGCAAACAGATTTTGCAAACCTCATTTGGTTGAGTGTATCTGGTAGAAGGAAGCTATTTGGGTTGTAACAACGAGCCCTTATTCTCTGCTCCAGGCTTTATAGGAACTCCAAATTCAATTTCTAATAATGCTCACAACATCTCATTAATACATTAAATCGGAAGATACTATTTTGGTAGACCAGAAACAGTAAACAATTTCACATGTAGTTCAAGCAAATATATACATTATATTCTACATATTAAATTTTATCTTTTCTTTTCCCCCTATAATGTAAACTCCATGAGAACAGGGACTTTGTCTCTTGTTCATTGCTGTATCTGCAGTTCCTAGAGCATTAACTGGGGATATAGTATTTCTCAACAAAAACATATTGCATGAATTAACGAATAAGTAAATATCCAAAAACTCCTTTATAATATTTCTGGGTGTGTAGAATTAATATCAATAGCGTTGACTTGCTAGTGCTGCCATAACAAAGTATCACAGACTGGCTGAGTAGCTTAAACAGAAATGTGTTTAGTACTGGTGTTAGGGCTTCAACATATGGATATTGGGAGGGACACAATTCAGCCCATAACAAGAGGTTAATCCAGTCCTCAGACATTTAATAACAGGTATCATTTTTCCTGCTAATAAAAGATACATAGGGGCTCCTGGGTGGCTCAGTTGGTTAAGCATCTGCCTTTGGCTCAGGTCCTGGGATCCAGCCCCGCATCAGGCTCCCTGCTCAGCGGGAAGCCTGCTTCTCCCTCTCCCACTCCCCCTGCTTGTGTTCTCTCTCTCGCTGTCTCTCTCTCTGTCAAATAAATAAAATAAAATCTTTAAAAAAAGTTACATAAACTCATAAAAAGTTCAAACAGTGTAGAAATGAATAAAGGCAAAGTACCTAGGATTGTGTGGAGTTAAGATTTGGGTAAGGTTTTGTTAAGATGCCTGTTGCCTTCAGTTCTTGGAAATAAATTGTAATTATTTTACATTTTAGCATTCTGACAAACTATTTTGATGTGGCTCTATCAAAATAGATGAGTCCGAATGGTCAACTTGAAGAGGCTGTGTAAAAATGGCCAGTCTCATCTGCTGCTAATGAAGAGAATGTGGTAGAGAGAAATAAATAAGATCAATTCTTGATAGTAGTAATTTTAGGAAGTGAGATGCAATCAGGGAGGAGTGAACTGGAAACTTCAACTGTGTTGGTAATTTGTATTCCTTAAGCTGCATGTTGGGGACAAAGCTATTACATGATCTTCATACCTTATAATAAGAGTTCTAGTGAAAAAATTCCATAATTCTTGGACTTTCACCAAGTTTGACTTATTGGTGACTTTACAGTAACTTTCCTCTGAAGAAACAATTACCAGTAATATTGCTAGTACTCAGAAAAGAGTAAAGTTTCTTTGAATTTTTTTCAGTGAAAAAGCTAAACATTTATTATTGATACCATTATAAGAAAATATTTTCACAATAGCTAGTAAAAATATAGTAGTTAGCTAACATATGATTGGGGTGCTTATCTTCTTCCCTTAGACTTGTATACTCTTCTTCAACAAATTAATTGATTATTTTGTGCTTAGTTTTTGGCATTTATGATTACTGATTTTCCCCTAAATATCTGAATATATTATTAATAAAACTCTAATATACTAGTGGTAAAATATCTAGATATTATAAGTAGTACCGGATAGCAATGTTTATAATTTAATATTAACAAGAAAATGTTATATTTAACAGAAAAAAGGTTTGATCGGAATGAGCCCAAAAAGCCTCCTGTGCCACTGAGGACTGATCATCCAGTCATGGGACTACAGAGTGAAAAAAATTTTATAAATACAAATGCAGCCGATGTCATTATGGGAGTGGCTAAAAAGCCTAAGCCAATTTATGTTGACAAAAGAACTGGAGACAAGCATGATCTTGAAACTTCAGGACTAGTTCCAAAATACATCAATAAAAAGGTAGCCTTGTGATGTATTAATGAGACCTAAAATGCAAATAATTTAAGTATTCACAATGATTATCCATATTATTATTAATAGTGCTCTCACAGGGCAAATTATTCCTCTGCAATCTGTGTTTGGTCCAAATCTAATGTGATGAAGTTATGGAGAATTTGGAATGAATAACACCATGTAGTCCAGTAGAGGAAAGTTCTAATTGTTTCCCCTAATTTCAATTATTAATATATTTAACAATTATAGCAAACATTCTCCAAAAGATGTTAATTTTTAGGGTGGTGGACATTTCATGAACAGCATAGGCATGACTAAAAGTCATTACTAAGAAATAACCTTTCAGGAAGTCCTAAGATTTGGTCATTAGGTTGCAGTATCTCGGTAAGAAAATGAGGAAAAATGAAGAGGAAGATAATTTTAGAGCCATCCATCCTATCAATGTAGTATAAATAATTCACATTACAATTTCAACTTGAATGTGTTTGGAATAAAGCAGACCTTGAAAGTACTGTACAATAAGCTAGTCCTTTTGGGACCTTCATCTCTATCTGAAAAGGTGCTTATCAGATAGGCATACAATTTCATTGTTGAAAATTATAGGAGTTTCAGTTTGTTTAAATATAGAAGATCTTTAAAATTTAAAAAGCTTACAAAAATACCTTATACAAAACCTATTTTGCTTTGTATAGTTACAGAGTATAAAACTGCTGGGAACACACATAGTAAAATATGAATGCAAAATCCTAAAGAATAATAATCCATAATAATAAACTGTGGCAAAAAAGAAAGGAAAGACAGAAGGAAGAAAGGAAGGAAGAGGAAAAACAGAAATTGCAATAGTGATGTATGAGGGGTTTGCATCAAGGTAGTCCAGTGATCTACCATGATGAATCCAGTGCCTGTTCAAAATCAAAACGGGAACCTCAAGGCTGTTGTCAGAGTACACCACTTACTCTCTGTGGAAACTCTTGTCACTCAATAAGCTAAGACACTTTTGGGAGACCTTAGCAAGTATCTAGGGGTTGGCAGCACATGGTGATAAAGTTATTTCAGGCTTCTGTGAATACTTCCTCTTGTGCCCTGAAGGCTGCTCATAGCCCTTGTCCCATAGGGGATGAAAAACAGAAATTTCACTTTAAAACAACTTCCAATCCATTATTTGTCCACTCTGATGTAAAAACCCTTCTCCTTTGCCCACACTGTGCCCCTCTTTCTGGCTGCCTTCTGCCCAAGCAGTCCACTTCAGTACATTTTCTACCCTGAACAGAAAATTGAGAGTATTCATCATGGAGACAGAAAAATATTCAGTTAGTCTTCCTGTGCTTGTTTACCAAGCATGCAAACGCTCTGCACCCGCTACACTCTTGGTGTTGCTGGCCGGGCATTCAGGGTTCGTGAAGGACTTTCTCAACTTACTCTCCACTGATCAGAGTTAAGTCTTTAAAACCCAGAGCACCTGAGTGGCTCAGTCAGTTGGGCAACTGCCTTCGGCTCTGGTCATAATCTCAGGGTTCTGGGATTGAGTTCACGTACTGCTCCCTGATCAGCCAGGAGTTTGCTTCTTCCTCTGTCCTTCCCCTGCTCATTCTCTTTCTCTCTCTCAAATAAATAAATTAAATCTTTAAAAATGTATAAGGCCTATGTGAAGGAAATTATAAAGTTTAAAAAAAGGTAAAACCTATTAATGGTAAGTGAGAGATCAAGTCTTTAAAGGGCAATGCCATTTTTATAAAAGTGAGTGAACCTCATGTTTTAGTTTCAAATAAAATATTGTATGCCCATTTGTGCCATGGGAAACCATCTGTGAAAACAAACTGAAGCACTGGTGATTGCCTGAGGTCCACGGCAATGGGCATGAGACATCGTTTCAAATTCTGACTCCACCACTTAACTCTGTGATCTTTCACACATTAGATTTATCACAGGGTTGTAGTAAGGATTAAATGATATAAAATCTATCAAGGACTTGACACGATATCTGGCACTCCATAAAAGTTCAATAGAGAGTGGGTAGTATTAATTATTAACATTAAGAGTATGCATTAGCCCTCAGTGATCCAGCATGTGGGAATATTTCAGATCACTGAAGCTTTTACCCATGTGCGAGATAGTTCTTTTTCCTAAAATGTATTATGTTATTCCCTTTATTAAACAGAATATGCCAAATATAATTTAATCTCTTTGCAATGACTCAGAATCATCATTATGAGCATCAGTAACTACTTAGCTGTAATGAGGTTTTGCCCTCAGTGTTTCCTGAGGTGAATTGGACTGTTTACCACTGCACTAACTTACCAGAATTCTGTGCTCTTAGAATTTATCTGTAGAGTGTTTTGCAACTTGCTGGAACACATTTATAGCTAGGATTTCAAACTGACCCTTTTTTTCAGCCAGGATAGGTTAAGTTATGCTTTGGTAACAAATAACCCCCGATTTCAGTAGCTAAAAGCAACTAAGTTTTATTGTTTGCTTATTGCTCCATGTCCATTAAGTGTTGGAAGCTCTGCTTCTTGTCCTCATTCCAAGACACAGGCAACCCCAAATATTTCCCATCATTATACTAAACCGAAAAAGAACATGACAAGTCATCCATTAATTCTTGAGGCTTCTACCCAAAAGGGACAGAGGTTACTTCCACTCTCTTTGGGCAAGTCAGGTCACATGATCACATCTTACTTCAAGGGGATCAGGAAAGTGTCCCATCAATTGCCTACAAGGAGAAGAACCAGAATGTTTATGAATAATTGTAATGACTATAATACCTATTAACAGCTGCTTCCTCAGAGAGTTTTTCACTGACCTCCTTATTTATCTAAAATCGATCTTATTTCTTTCTTCCCCCTTACTATTCTTTGTTTCAGTTTGGAGCACTGATACGTATATTACTTTATACTCTATTTTTGGTGAGTTGCTCTCACCAAAGAATGCACATTCCATAAGGACAGAAACTTGCCTTTCTTATTCACTAGTATACCTGGCATCAAGTAAATTCTCAAATAATTTTTTGAAAAATAAACAGGGAGTAGTTCTGTTTCTGTACACAGTGGTATCAAGCATAGTTACTAGTCTGAAAAAAATCACAGCGGATTGCTTCACTGTCTATCCTTGTAAGCAGCCCAGGAGCCTTCAAAATGGATTTGGCATTCCAAAAACAACCTTAGGGTCCCAAGTCAGTTGTTACTTAAAGCAGATGTGCATTGTGTATTTGTTTTTACAATACTTTAGAAGCATATATCTTGTTTTATATAATAAGAACTTGCAAAAGGGACCTCAAGATATTCAAGATATTTAAAGATAAAAGCTGAAGCACCTAAAAGAAATAAAGAAAAAACAACTCTTAGAGGTAAAACAAGAACTGAGTCATCAGCCAGGAACAGGTGCTGGAAACATTCAGAAGAGAAAAAACAAGCAGCCACAATAACAATTTAGATGGTTTTAAAAGATGAGAATCAACTAGTTCCCAATGGGAAAAGAAGAAGAAAAAAAAAAAACACCTTGAATTTTATCAATTTACCATGTTTGGAGCAAAGGCTTTGCTCAAAAAAAATCTGTAACATTTCTTTTCCTCTCAGTCATTAGTTGATGTATACACATGTGTAAGATTGCATTCAGGATATTGATTTTTTTTTCTGAAAAAATCCTTTTAAGGATTATGGCATCACACCAGAATATATATGTAAGCGAAATGAGGAAGTAAAGAAAGCCCAAGAAGAATATGATAATTATATCCAGGAAAACCTTAGGAAAGCAGCTATGAAAAGGCTCTCTGATGAAGAAAGGGAGGCAGTTCTGCAGGTAAGCATTCTGTAATTTATATTCATATGTAGTACTTTTGAACATCTCTGAAAGAAAGGTCCATCATCAATGAATATTAAAGCCTGCACCTTGACTTTGAAATCAGAACACACTCTTTGGGTTATGGTGAGGACTACGAGCAGCACACTGACTCTTTGGGGAGAGCAAAAGTTGTAATTAGGAATTATTGAATCATATTTTGTTTCCAATTTTGTGAGATTCTGTTTTCTCCTGGCGTAGTTAGTGTAAGGAAGCCCACATTCTCCTTCAGCGAACATGCGTGAGTAAAGCCAAAAGGTGTTTTTATTTTCATTGTCATGTCCCTGAATTTTTCAAAAATAATATCCATAAAATAGATATTTTTCACTAGATGGAGCTCTAGAATAATTGAAACTGCTCCCAGACCAACTTTTTTTTTTCTTTTCTATAAGCCAAATGTCCAAATTTTAAAATAACCAGGTGTTAGGCTTTTTATGTATTTTCCATATTTTGAATAAACTAGGCATAAAGATATATGACCTTATGTGTTTAATGCAAGACTTTTATCTGAAGCATTTAAAATGTCTTTAGAGAGTATTTATGAAGCACCTAATTGTACTCTTCTATAGTTATGATATTCTTATAGGTAAAAATCGTACTTTATTCTTGTTATTTTGAAAGATTTCTACAAAGTCATTTCTAGCAACCTTTTAAAAACAGGAAAAAAAATTTTTTTCCACATTAACTTCTGTTGAAAATGGATTTGTATGCTGTTATAAATTCTTAACATTTTATTAATGTCATAATCATTAGTAAACATTTACTAAATTACTGTTTTGTATTAAGTATCATGCTAAGCCTCAAAGATATTAAGAAGGGCATAAGATAAAATTCTACTATAGATAATGTAATATAATGGAAGAGAGGTGATATGTATATATGTACATATGTAAATATATGTGTGTTGTGTGTATGTGGAGATCATAAGTTTTATCAGGTTCTAAGACAGAGTATCCACTGAAGGATGTAGCTGGGCCTTAAACTGCACAGTAAGAGGATCTTCTGGACAGCAGGAGTGACCTAAGGGCAAAGACTGTGTCTCTTTGTTGACACAGTCTCCTTTGTGCCTAACTCAGTGCCCAGTATAAACACAGAGGTTTAATATTGGTGTGCTGGAAAGAAGAAAGGAAGAAGGTAGGCAAGAAGGCTGGCAGACGTGGAGGTGGGACTTTGGATGTCATTTTCAGAGTACTGGTTTGTGGTCCATTCTCTCTTTTTCTCTTTCTCTTTCTCTTTCTCTTTCTCTCTTGCTTTCTCTTTCTCCTTCTCCCACCCCATCTCTCTCTAGTTGGATTCTACCATGTATAGAAAGTACAAGCTTTTGTGAAAGCCAGGTTTTTATATCTAACCAATGCTGAAAAATAGGAAAAAACACCGATGGATAGATCATCCAGACAGAAAATCAATAAGGAAACCTCAGCCTTAAACAACACATTAGACCAGATGGACTTAACAGATAGATACAGAACATTCCATCCAAAACCAGAATACACATTCTTCACAAGTGTATATGGAATATTCTCCAGGATAGATTGTATGTTAAGCCACAAAACACATCTCAATAAATTTAAAAAATTGAAATCATATCAAGCATCTTTTCCAACCATAATGGTATAAAACTAGAAATCAATTACAAGAAGAAAACTGGAAAAATCACAAACATATGGAGATTAAACAATATGCTAATGAACAACTAATGGCTCAATGAAGAAATCAAAGAAGAATTCAAAAAATACTTTGGGGGTGCCTGGGTGGCTCAGTCAGTTAAGTGTCTGACTCTTGATTTTAGCTTGGGTCATGATCTCAGGGTCGTGGGGTCAAGCCCTATGTCAGGCTCCCTGCTCAGTGCCAGTCTGCTTGAGATTCTCTCTTTCCCTATCCCTTGCCTCTCCCCCTGCTTGAATGTTCTCTCCCTAAATAAATAAATAAATAAATAAATAAATAAATAAAATCTTTAAAAAAAAAACTTTCAAATGAAAATAGAAATACAACCAAAATCTATGGGATGACAGTTTAAGAGGGAATTTTGTAACAATAAAAATCTCAAATAAACGATCTAACTTTATACCTAAGGGAACTAGAAAAAAAGAACAAAAGAAGCCCAAAGTTCTAGAAGGAAGGAAATAATAAAGATCAGAGAGCAAATAAATGAAATGGAAACTATAAAGACTAGAAAAGATCAATGAAAGTAAGAACTGGTTCTCTAAAAAGATAAACTAAATTGACCTTTAGCTAGACTCACTAAGAAAAAAAGAGAGAGGCGTTAAATAAATAAAATCAGAAATGAAAGAGAAAAAGTTACAACTGAACACAGGAATACAAATGATCATAAAAGAATACTGTGAACAGTTCTATGCCAACATTTTGGACAATCTAGAAGACATGGATAAATTCCTAGAAACATACAATCTTCCAAGACTGAATCATGAAGAAGTAGAGAATTGGCATAGACCAAGTACTAGTAGGTAGATTTAATCAGCAGTCAGAAAACGCCCAACAAATAAAAGTTCAGGGCCAGATGGCTTCACTCATGAATTCTACCAAATATTCAAAGATTTAACATCTATCCTCCTCAAACCCTTCCAAAAAATTGAACATGAAGGAATGCTTCCAAACTCATTTTACAAGGTCAGCATTACTCTGATACAAAACCCAGTCAAGGACACCACATACACTAACAAATCATAGGCCAAAAATATCCCTGTTGAACATACATACAAAGAACCTCAACAAAATATTAGCAGATCAATTTCATCAATACATTAAACATATCATTTACCATGATCAAGTGGGATTTATTCCAGGGATGAAAAAATGGTTCAAAATCCATAAATCAATCAACGTTGATATACCATAGTAATAAAATGAAGGATAAAAACCATATGATTATCTCAATAGATGCAGCAAAAGCATTTGACAAAATTCAAAATCAGTTTGATGATTAAATCAACATAATAAAGGCTGCCTATGACAAGTCCACAGCTAACATCATGCTGAACAGTGAAAAACTGAGAACTTTTCCTTTAAGATCAGGAACAAGACAAGGATGCTCACTCTCACCACTCCCATTCAACATAGTATTGGAAGTGCTAGACAGAGCAATTAGGCAGGAAAAAGAAATAAAAGCCATTCAAATTGGGAAAGAAGTAAAACTATTTGTGGATGACATGATTTTTTATATATAAAGACTCCACCAAATATCTCTTAGAACTAGTAAAAGAATTTAATAAAGTTGCATGTCACAAAATCAATACATAAAAATCTGTTGTGTTTTTATACACTAATAACAAACTATCAGAAACAGAAATTAAGAAAATAATTCCATTTATAATTGCAACAAAAAGAATAAAATACCTAGGAATAAATTTAACCAAGGAGGTGAAAGATCTGTGCACCGAAAACTTAGAAGACACTGATGAAAGAAATTGAAGAAGGCAAACTAAATTGAAAGATATCTCATGTTCACGGATTGAAAGAATTAATATTGTGAAAATGTCCATATTACTCAAAGCAATCTACAGATTCAATGCAATCCCTATCAAAATTTCAATGGCATTTTTCACAGAAATGTAACAAACAATCCTAAAACTTGTGTAGCACCACAAAAAATCCCAAGTAGCCAAATCAATCTTAAGAAAGAAGAACAAAGTTGAAGGCATCACCCTCCCTGATTTCAAACTATATTACTAAGATATGGTAATTAAAAAAAAACAGTATGGTAATGGCATAAAAACACATAGATCAAAGGAACAGAATAGAGGGCCCCAAAATAAACGCATGCATATATGGTCAATTAATTTATGACAAAAGAGGCGAGAATATACAATAAGAAAAGAACAGTCTTTTCAAAAAGGGTGTTGGGAAAACTGGACAACCACATGCAAAAGAATGAAACTGGACCATTATCTTACACCATATGCAAAATTCACTCAAGATCGATTAAAAACTTGAATGTAGAATGAAGCCATAAAACTCCTAGAAGAAAACATAGGTGGCAAACTCCTTGATATCAGGCTTGGCAATGTTTTTTTGGGATCTGACTCTTAAAGGCAAGGATGACAAAAGCAAAAATGGACAGCTGGGACTACACCAAACTAGAAAGCTTCTGCAAAGGGAAGGAAACCATCAACAAAATGAAAAGGCAACCTCCTGAAGGGGAGAAGATATTTGCAAATCATATATCTGATAAGAGGTTAATATCCAAAGTATATAAAGAACTCATACAATTTAACACCACCACCACAACAAAACACCCCCAAACAATCCAATTAAAAACTGGGCAGAGGATCTGAGTAGATATTTTCCCAAAGAAGAGATACAGATGGCCGACTGGCACATGAAAAGATGCTCAGCATCACTTATTGGGGAAATGCAAATTAAAAACTACAATGAAATACCACCTCACACCTGTCAGAATGGCTATTATCAAAAAGACAATAAAAAACAAGTGTTGGTGATGATGTATAGAAAAGGTAGCCCTTGCAGCCACTCTGGAAAACAGTATGGAGGTTCCTCAAAAATTAAAAATAGAACTACCATATGATCCAGTGATTCCACTTCTGGGTATTTATCCAAAGAGAATGAAGATATTAATTTGAAACTATATATGTCCCCCCACGTTCACTGCAGCATTATTTACAATAGCCAAGATATGGAAGCAACCTAAATGCCCATTGATGTACGAATGGATGAGGAAGATGTGGCATATCTGTGTGTGTGTGTGATGCTAAGTGAAATAAGTCACACAGAAAAAGACATACTATAGGATTTCACTTATATGTGGAATCTAAAAAACAAAACAAACAAAACAAAACTCATAAACACAGAGAACAGAGTGGTGGTTGCCAGAGGGGAATGAGGTTGAGGGTGGGTGAAGTGGGTGAAGGTAATCAAGAGATACAAACTTCCATTTATAAAAAAAAGTCTGAGGATATAATGTGCACCATGGTGACTATAGTCAGTAATATTGTATCACGTATTTGAAAGTGGTTAAAAGAGTGAATCTTAAAAGCCTTCATCACAAGAAAAAAATATTTTGTATCTTTGTACAGTGACATGGTAACTGGACTCATGCTGATTATTTCACAATGTATACAAATGTCAAAAATCATTATGTTGTACACCTGAAATGGATATAACGTTATATTATACTTAAACAAACAAACAAACAAAAAACAGGAAAAGAGAGGAAGAACTTCCCTCAGAAGGAAAAGGCTCTTCTGTCCTGGGTCTTTTTGGCTTAGTGGATAAGCAGCCCTCAGTTGCCTAATACGGTCACTGCGGATTTGACAGGACAATAGCAGACCCTTCCTTACATGCCTTATTAGCCAGGTAATATAGCTGCCATGGTAACAGAGCCACCAGCTCTGCTCCTGATAAGTCCTGAGTCATGTTTCCCTCCATGATTAGGAGTTGCACACAGCGCTATGACAATGTAGTTGTATGTGCCTGAGTAGGTCACATCCTGCTCATTCTTCATAAAAGAACAGTCTCATTATACTTAGAGGATTATCCACTCTAATCATTCCACACTTCTCCTTTGACATATGAGGATATAAAATGCAAATATATTAAGTTTTGTTCATTTATCTATTCATTCACTTGAACAGGCACTGTATCCAGCCCAGGGGGATACTATTGTGAGCAAGACAAATGCACTCTTTCCTGTCAGTACACTTAGAGTTTGGTTTACATTTGCCCTTGGTCACAAAATTATCAAGGAGCTAAACAGGGACTAAAACCCACATCGGCCAAGTCCTGGGCCAGGGCTTCCCCTGCGACATCGTTCACACGTGCGTAGAAAGTAACAAAAGGAAGCTCTGTCAGTCAGAGATCCAGCAGGAAATACAGGCACCACCAACCAGGATTCTGAAGCACATTTATGAAGAACTATTTACGGAAGGAAGGCAGGGCTACGGGAGCGAACAAAAAACTTGGTAGCACCCCAGGACTAAGGACAGTGGGAATCCATCACCACCCTAAGCTCGAAGGGCAAAGGCAAGAAATGGTGTTACCAGAGCCTGGTAAGATCTGGAGCCTGGAAGAGAGCTCACTGAGCAGTGTTGCCCTTACAGACACGTGAGCCAGAACTAGGGTCCAGGTAACGTCAAGGGAGAGGAAGAAGAAATGCCCCAACCTCTCCTCCCACCAGGGCCGAGCTCAGAGGCTGTAAGAAGCCTTAAGGGTGTGTGTGTGTGGGGGGGGGGCACGATGAGGAGGAGCATGGAACTGAAGGCACTTCCTATTTATTTTATGACTGCTTCTCCCTATCTGAAGCTTTTCCCAAACTAACAATAATAAAAAAAAATAAAGTAGAAGAGAGAGAGGTCAATTAAAAAAAAAAAAAAAGAAAATCACTATTCCTGCAATGAATAAAAGATTTTTTAGATGAAATAACAAAAATAAGTCTTAAAAACAGCAGAGAGGCTATTGTCAATAGAATATATTAGTTACATTTAGTTCCCACCCCTGCCTGTTGACTTGGATCCAAGGCTTTTTGTACACACTGGAAGATAAAGGCTACAGAGAAAAAGTGTAGCTGCTGTGACCACAAGTAATGTGGAAATATCACTCAAGTAGCTATGAAAAACCTTTGATATTTGAAAGTGTATAAATGCATAGATTTCCTCTCTGCAGTAGGCACCCCTGTGGAGCACTGTGGAAACATAGTTCTCATTTCATAATGAAAGGCTATGAAAAAAGAATTCTTCTGAGGACATCTTTTTGGAATACATCTCATACACCATGAAGAACTGTGCTAACCTATCCCCCTCTTTTTAAAATGTAACCTGGGTATTTTCCCTCTTTCTTTTCCTTTCCTTCTTTCATCTAGCCTCACTCAATAAGGGCTCAAAAATCTGTTGCCCTTTTCCCCAGCCAACCTGGTCTGTACAACGTGCTCTCTCCCTATCATCATTTTTACCTAAGCATGGGAATAAACCACTGAAATGTTATTACCCCCCACAAGCTTCTACAAAATTAAATTTGTACGATGAAGCCTTATTATGAAGATGTTATTATGTAAGAAACTTCTAATCTTCTCTTACACCTAAATATATAGCCGTGGATTTCAAGGACCATATTTTCAAGGCAATATTTTAAATTCTACTTTCAGTTTGACTTTTTGTTTTTGTGTAAATAAAGTGATTTGTGTACCCATAGTGAATAACAGAAAGTGTTAGTTTTGCAAAAATTTCATAGCTCAAATTTGATTAGAGGTTTCAGCCCATTTTGTCAATGAGACCCTCTGGTGCACTGTGATAAGAAATGGGGATTAGGCAGATGAAAATAACCTTTATTCCTCCTTAGAGATCCCTAATTTTGAATTTGTCAGCTTCTGAGAATATAAAACATTAACTACATTACTGAATTAGCATGCATTTACATTTCATGACATCTCAGTCATTTCTGGTATACATTAATGGGACGTATAGACCCCTTGACTATATGAAGAGTTCTTTCTAATATATTGAAAAAATATTAAAGGATCATCTCTTGTTACATTGAATTTTGGCATTTTGTACAATTCCATTTAGTCAAATATAAGCAAATGTGCCATGCAAGTCCAAATCAGATCTTTTGATGAATGGCGATAATGGTTCAAAACTAAAATTCTAAAGAAAAAAAAAGAAATTTTTTCTAAGAAAGAATTTCCTATTCAAAAATATGTCTTGCTTGCCGGGGGGGGCGGTGGGGAGGCATCGATTCTCACTTGTTTTTACCAAAGCATTTGCTATGAGCTTAGTTTCATAGTACTTGTAACTCTGCATATGCATATTTAATGGCAAAAACAAGTAACAGTAACATAATAGAGAAAATAAATACTCCCTCTGGGAACTGAGCACACAATCAAGGACAGGATTTGGCCTCTGCACAATATTTTCTGTTACTGTAGCCAAGTACTCGATAAATACATATCGTTTTGTAAAGTTATTTTCATCAGTTTCCTATACCTATTTATGTTTCTCTTCACCAGCACACTATATATATTTTTTAACCATTTACATTACTTTTGCAGTTACCTTAGTATTTAGAGTTCTCATTACCATTTGCAGGGGCTGAAGAAGAACTGGGAAGAGGTGCATAAGGAGTTTCAGTCCCTCTCGGTGTTCATCGACTCCATCCCAAAGAAGATCCGCAAGCAGAAGCTGGAAGAAGAGATGAAGCAACTGGAACATGACATCAGCATCATCGAAAAGCACAAAATTATTTATATTGCGAATAAGTAATCATGGATTTTTTAAAAATATAGTCATTTTAACATAGGGAAGAAAATGAAACTGCTTTTCAAAGAGGAGAACACTATGAAGAGAATTAAAATAGTTTTTACCAAAATGCGGAGGCAATGATTAAAGGGTAATCGAATTATTCTACTCATGTGAGAGAAAATTTTGTTTTTACCAGCATTAGGATTTCCACGTATAAGCAGAAGTTTGATGTGGCGTGTTCCAATCTGTAGGGTGATCCATTATTTTTATGTACTTCTTTCACAGAAATATTAATTTCTGGGCGCTGAAGAATAAAGTCAGCACTCAGAACTTCAGAATTTTTCTATACTGCATGATACAAAGAGCACAACATTAAAAACTGTGAAGAATTTTGAATTGGACATAGTGGCATATGCTTTCTCCCTACTCCAGTGCTTTCTAAACATTGCTTAAGATTCCCACACATTCAACAGCATGCAATCTCTGATAACCTCTGTCATTTGCAACTCTTCCCAACTGCAAATACCGTCAGTGTCCATAATGCTAGCTATGCCAAAGAGCTTATATTGGGAGGAAGTAAAATGAAGAAGGTAACATAAAGTCAAGAAGACAACTTAGAAAAGGCATCACTGAGCATAATCAAAGAGAACAGCCTTCTTCTGGGTATACCAACTTTTAAAAACTTTCCTACTCAAAGTGCTTCATTCCATAATTCACTATAGGTTTTTCACTAAAATGGGATGTTCCTTTTTCTTTTTTTGTTCCTATGTATCTATTTGGTGAATTCTAAAGTTTCCATTTGTATGATTAATTTATTAAGCAATAAGTTCATGCGAGTAGAGCTGTCTTCAACTCAAAATAAGTGTATAAGGAGAGTCTAAAAGGAAAAGATTCTTGTATGAAATTTTAAATTAGAGAAATTCAGTAGAACATGAAATACAAAATATCAGAGCAATAACAATGTCTGCTGCTTACACTGATTTTTATCTTATGGACGAAAGAAAAAAATGACATATTTTTTAGCTTTTTCACAAACAGAATTTGAGAGCATTGTAGAAAATCTTACTTTAATTAAATAAAAATGGTTATATACAAATATTTTTGAAAACTCACTTTAAACTTTTTTCACATCTTTTTATGAACATCATTTCTGTATTTATTACCTTAGAGCAGATATAAAACAAAAGCTAGTGATTATTCAGAATGGTTGCTTGCTATTTAGAATAGGCGAATAGTTATAACAATAAACCCAAAATGTATAATAATAACATAATAGAAACTCATATCTTGCTCACGTAACAATACTGTGCTGCAAAGACATGAGCAGGAACTCTTTTGCACACAGTTGCTCAAGGACCCAGACTTACGGAGTGGTAGGCTCTGTTCTCTCCAGAGTTCAAGCCTAGAAAAGATGCACATCATTTCTCTTTGCATTTTCTAAGTCAGAACACTAGTTGCACATACTGCCTCTAAACACAAACACCACCAAATCTTATTTGTCTGGTAAACAAATTTCTCATTGACGTTATTGTCCTATGTGAATAAGGGTGGGGGGTGGTACTCTGTTCCATGCAGTCACTCAGAGACTCTGATGGTACAGCTGCCCTTCGCCACGCTGAAGGATAAGATGTTTAGGTTAGTATTTTATTTGTGAGATGATTCTTATACATAACTAATTTAAAAACAATTCAAAGTCAGTAGTGATGCAAAAATATTCTAATTATTTCAGCATCATGGTTGTTAGGTTTGGGGGCCATGAATGAGAGTTGCCTTACGTGATATCTTTGTGGTTTTAACAGATGGTTTTTCTCTTCCTGTATGTCTACTAAAGAATAGACTTTTCTCCACGGCCCACGATGTTATTCTAGATTGACTTTATTGCCTTTCTCATTCACAGGCCTCTTAGGGAAACCTTCCCATCCATTATTCCTGAAACATTATCCTACACTCCTACCATTGGATTCTAACCTTAAAAATCTCCAGTGCTAGCTTCCCACATCCACATTCAAACACACACACACACACACACACACACCTGGGTCATTCTACCAGGCAGAGGAGGGAGAGACACCTGACTCAATGATTGATCAGTGACTGATCAGATTCTCTTGCTCGAGAATGTGAATTAAGAGACACAGAGACCACAGTCATTTGGGAGCAGGCACTTGAGCCTAAAAGGTCAAACTTCATTCCTGCAGCTAGTTTGACTTGGTTTTTATTCCTATTCAAAAGAGCTCTGAGTAGAATAAAAATCCGATGTGGTCTGGTCCTTTGCCTGTGACCTCTTTGGCTTGGTTCCTTGAAATGCTGCCCCCTCCCCACGGTGATGGGTGTTCCTATAATAGTGAGATATAGATGCCCCTCCCCCCAGTCTTTGCACATTGTTTCCTCTGCCCTTTTCTTTCTTCTCCTGCATATCTGCCTGGAGAAAATCTGCTCTTCAAGAGTTGGATCACATTACCTTTCCGTGACACCCCTTTTTGATTCCTCAGACTCAGTCCTCCTCTTCCAGCATTGCTCATGTTGTATTGTGTTTATGTGATTATCTGCTATTTCCCACAAAACTGCACACTTGTGGGGGAGAAGGGCCGTATTTTTTCATCTGCATTCCTTAGAATCTACATCATAGAAGGTGCTCAGAAAACCTTTGTTGAATAAATTAATGAATGATGTCCAAACATATATTTTGATGACCCCTTGGCATTATTATCACAACATAAATCAGACATAGAGGATAGGGATTTGGGCCAGTAAACAAGGCAGTTGACACCGCAGCAGCTAGCTGCATGAGCAAGTCGGGAGAAGGCAACCTCTTGTAGTGCTTATGAGCTCAAGCTCTGGAGTCAGGTGGATGCAGGTTCACATCCCAGCCCAGCACTTACTAACTGTGCTTCAGAATCTTTTTTAAGATATGTTTTCCCAGTCTATAAAATGGGTTGATAACCTACAACCGTGCTTTATAGAGTAGTGATGGGAACGGAATGAAACAACATGTGTACAACAGCATAGTCCCTGGCATGTAGAAAGACAATACATTCCTTACTAAGGTTTATTATTAAGAATCCAATTCTGGGGCACCTGGGTGGCTTGGTCGGCTAAGTGTCCAACTCTTGGTTTCAGCTCAAGTCATGATCTCAGGGTGATGGGATTGAGCCCTGCGTGAGGCTCCATGCTGGGCATGGAGCCTGCTCAAGATTCTCTCTCTCCCTCTGCAACCAACCCCCATCCCCAGTCAAGCTCATGCTCTCTCTCTTTCTCTCTCTTTCAAAAAAAAAAGAACCCTTCAGTTCTGTAGTACTTTTGTCCATTTGGTTCTGGGTCCATTAGCATACTATCAATAGAACTTCCCAAGCTTATAAAATCCAGTTGCAGGAGAGGACCTGATTGAACAGTTTTGAAGTCCTAGCCTGAAATTACCCTAGTCTGGCTTAATCTCCTTAGTGGCACATGCAGATGATAACTGTATTTGGAAACTGCTATCTTTAATAACTGGCAAAAATTTGGCAATACTTCCTGAATTACTCAGCACAGATATCCCCCCCACACACACACACACAAAAGATAAGCTTAAATCAGTAATGCTGCCAAGTGTCACTAAGGAAAAAGGTTTGCAAGGTTGTCTCCAACAAAGCCTCCTGGGTGATATTTATTAGTGAATGAATGTGGCCCAGGGCCTGACCTCAAGTCTGAGGGCCCATAGGTTCATTGTTCTCAGGACCTCAGAGACCGATGCACATGAATTAAAAGGCACATGAATCTGAGTTGCCTCCTGAACATCAATTATTTTTATTATGATAAAATACATAACAAAACTTACTATCTTAACCATTTTTAAATGTACACTTCAGTGGGATTAAATACATTCAGTGTGTGGTGCACGCATCACCACCATCTTTCTCTGTAAGCCTTTTCATCTTATAAAATAAACTCTGTACCTTCTAAACAGTAACTACCCGTTCTCCCCCATCCCCCAGCCCCTGGCAACTGCCATTCTAATTTCTCTCTCTATGACAGTTAAAAATAGACTAAAGAATTAATAGAAGTTGGGAGAGATGGGGAAAAGAAGGATTGTGGAACTAAAAAATTCCAAGCAGAATATAATGTATAAAGGATATGGGGCAGGGAACTCTCAACCCATAGGAGGGAGGCAGCCATTGGGGCTGTAGTATACAGCGAAGGGAGAAGGATTCAAGCTGAAGATGAAGAGGGAAGCAACAGGCATTAACCTATTCTAAACAGAGACGGAGCATAATACAATATATTTTTTATTGTTATGTTAATCACCATACATTACATCATTAGTTTTTGATGTAGTGTTCCATGATTCATTGTTTGTGCATAAAACCCAGTGCTCCATGCAGAATGTGCCTTCTTTAATACCCATCACCAGCCACCCCATCCCTCCCACCCCCCCACCACTCCAGCAACCCTCAGTTTGTTTCCTGAGATTAAGAATTCCTCATATCAGTGAGGTCATATGGTACATGTCTTTCTCTGATTGACTTATTTCACTCAGCATAACACCCTCCAGTTCCATCCACGTTGCTGCAAATGGCAAGATCTTATTCCATTTGATGGCTGCATAATATTCAGCTGTGTATCTATACCACATCTTCTTTATCCATTCATCTGTCGATGGACATCTTGGCTCTTTCCACAGTTTGGCTATTGTGGATATTGCTGCTATAAACATTGGGGTGCACGTACCCCTTCGGATCCCTACACTTGTATCTTTGTGGTAAATACCCAGTAGTGCAATTGCTTGATTGTATGGTAACCCTATTTTCAACTGTTTGAAGAACCTCCATCCTGTTTTCCAGAGTGGTTGCACCAGCTTGCATTCCCACCAACAGTGTAAGAGGGTTCCCCTTTCTCCGCATCCCCGCCAACATCTGTGATTTCCTGACTTGTTCATTTTAGCCATTGTGACTGGTGTGAGGTGTTATCTCATTGAGGTTTTGATTTGGATTTCTCTGATGCCAAGCGATGTTGAGCACTTTTTCATGTGTCTGTTGGCCATTTAGATGTCTTCTTTGGAAAAATGTCCGTTCAGGTCATCTGCCCATTTCTTGATTGGATTATTTGTTCTTTGGGTGTTGAGTTTGATAAGTTCTTTATAGATGTTGG